CCTATGTTTGTTTGCTTGTTGGTTTACATGTGTATGCTTGTATGTTTGTTCGTACGTTTGTTTGTATGTTTGTTTATTTGTATACTTGCTTCTTTGTACGTGTGATTATACTAATAACCAAAAACCGCTGAATCAGTGAAATTTATGAAAGGCCAAAAATGTACTATTAGTGAAACCGTGTATTTTAAAAGGGATGTAAGGAAGATGCCGACGCAGATTAATAAGATCAGTCTCTAAGCTGCTCGAATCCCAATGTCATAATGAAAAGACCGGTAACAACTCGAATGTACCTCAAGATCCTGATCAGCTTCAACGCTGTTTTGCTGTGTGCACGGAGGCGCCCAGCGAACAAATTTCGTTTTTATTGGTTCGTGCTTGCCTTCTGACGGCTTGGCCATTAGCCTCAGGTAGTAAAAGCGTTGCTCTTCCGGAAGAACTTTGTTGTCGTCTTCTCCACTGGGAAATCGTATCATTTTGTACCGCAATACTTTTGTTAACGATAAGGACGATAATAAGAATGATACTGACGATGATGATGGTCAACGAATGAATAGTTTTCCGGTGCATGTATAATAAACAGCAATTTGCTATATAGCTTAATGAAAGCAGCAAGTGAAGTTGCAATTGACAAGGGCAGTCCGGAGAAGGAAACACTTATTAATTTGCGTTAGCCCACAGGGACAGGCCTGGAGGGCCCCAGCGTGTAAGGAAAAACTGACAGTGAGATGGAATAAGATGTTACCCTTAAAATGTAAAATGATGAATGCAGTATGTGGCCGCAACAAAATGAAAACTGAAACAGTAGCACCACTGCAAGTATTTCGCGCGTACGCGATGTCCACCTGTGGCAGTGGTCACGGCGACAAGGCCTTCAACGCTGCCACGTCAAAATGATGGGTTTTCGCAGTGGTAATTTACGTGGCTGCGCATTCATTCAGCAGCTGCAACAGCAGGCGAATAGCCAGTAATTCTGGACATGCAGCAGAACTTGTCATCAGGAACTGAAATTTCTTGACCATCGTTTCAGAGTATCCAACAAAATCCAGCAAAATAACTGCAGAATACTTCTAAATTTTTCGAAGGCTACGAACTGAGTTGCACGCAACTTTCAAGCGACACAATGATGCTGGCTGTAGAAGTATGGCAATGCATGTTCTTATCTGCAATTTATCATGCAGCATACGAGGTCAATGCGCTCGACAAGTGCACGGACAAACTCCTACTTTTTTAGCTCAGTATTTCAGGAACAGGAGAAAAAACGCTAAGTTTTTTGCGGAATTTAACACACAACCCTAGAGAGTACACACTAAAAGACGCGGGAAACAATGCATTACTCGGCCCATTTATCACCTGACCTGCCGATGCGATCATGTGATTTTAGCAAACCCCGAAGCCCGCCAAGACTTTCACCTGTCGTATGTGAGGAAGGCCGTACCAAGGAGA